CTACCACCTGCAATTTACTTGACCCCTCGATTTTCAGGAAATCGAGGCTCCACGCGAGCCCATGCCTGAGCCAGAGGCCCCACAATATGGCAAGCCTACGTTTACACAACCACTTCAAAGCATTGCCGATATCCCAGAAGGTGGTGTGGCTCTACTGGAGGCCCGGGTTACCCCAGTCAACGATCCCAACCTCAAGATTCTGTGGTTCTTCAACGATTCACCCTTGCAAGTAAGGCATTTTCCAATTTTTATTGCGTTGACTATAAAAATCAATAAATTGATCAATATTGATTTTTCAAGGACTCGAATTGGATTGCAACAAACAACGATTTTGGAAATGTTTCCCTACGAATTGCCCCATGCCATGCTCGTCATACTGGAGTTTACTCTTGTAAGGCTGTTAACGACCAAGGAGCCGCAGTCACTAGTGCATCAATCAGCGTACAAGGTAAATCTAGTAATTTCGGAGCTTTGATTGATCGATATTGATTGATTGTTTAGGCACAGAGGGGTTGCTGCTCGACACCGCTCATCCAGAATCGCTCCAGAAGATTAGAGAAATGGAATCTATGGATAAGTTCGCTCGCTTGGAAGCACCAGAAAGAGAATATGGTAAACCACAATGGATTCAACCGTTTGAGGTTTGCCGAGTCTGCAAATACAGAAAAGCCAAAAAGGAAAAACTAAAACTATATAGAATGTCGAAAACGTTCCCGAAGGACAAGTTGTCGAGCTTCACGGTCTCGTTGAACCATCTGGTGATCCTAACCTTCGTGTTGATTGGTTGCTTAACGGAAAACCACTTATGAACGGTAATTACAGTACAAAATCTCGTTATCATAGCTGATCAATTATCGATTTTTCAGCTAATCGATTCCGACAGGAACTTGACTTTGGAAATGCTATTTTGACTATCGTACACACACTTCCGCATGATTCCGGCGTCTACACTTGCCGAGCTTATAACCTGGCTGGAGAAGCTAGCACTAGCGCTACGGTTAAGATTGACGGTGAGTGGTGGGATATCCCTGATAGGATTTTTGGGATAAATGAATTTT